TTGCTTGTGTTATTTTTGATGTTTTTCTCTTAAGCTCATCTTATCATTTTTCAGATTCATATTTTTTCCTGAGTGATTATTTCTTACATAGAAAAGAGTACATTGCCTGATGCCAACAAGTAGAACTAAGCTAGTATAGATTCATCTCCAGCTACACAATTTGTAAATCTATTGGATAAATTCTGACAGGACACTTTTAAAACTGTATCAGAAGAAAAAATAAGTAAAAGAAATACTTTTTTCCCCCATGAGTTAGTTTGAAATACCTACTTGTCCTGTTTCTGCAAAAGACCAAGGATTTCTCCTGTCTGAGACCAGATTTCATGGCAATTTTTGAGCTGACATTCTGCACCAGCTAGTAGCATAACTCAGATTGTCACTCCTCTGTGTATGGCCAGTCAGATTTTCAATTTCTCAAGAAAGTTGTTTCTTTTTCTACTCTTTCCCTAGTTTGGGGAAGAGAATGCTTCCTGCAGCTTGCCAGGTTGGTCATGAGGATTTTCTGTGAAGGTTTCTTTCACAGAGAGGGGTAACTCCAGCAGGGCTCAATCCCCATCTCAGTTCAAGCACTATGCCTCATGGGAACCAAAGTCCACATTTCCTCTCTATATGTGAGCATCTATAATTCAGACAATAAATTGTAGGACAAGTATCTAGATCTCAATTACACCACTACTCTAACCAGGCTTTGCTCTGGTCAGAAATTCATTCTTCATTTCTGGCAACTAGGGGTTCCCTTCATTTATTTATTTTTCCTCCTCAGATATGTTTTTCTAAAATGTTGTGCTACTTATTAACTTATCCAGATTTCATAAGTTTGAAAAGGCAAAAGGTGGGTCTGTGATAGTTGCACCAATTTATAAATATTTTTCTGGAAGTTTATTAAAACTCAATTTCCTTAATGAGCAAAACCCCCAAAATACACATATGAATGAATTAAGATGGCAGCTCCACCTCCAAGTAAGAAAAACAGTCTCCATTACATCAGTCACTATTTATCTTTTGTGTCTTAGTCCGTGGCCCTGTTATTTTACATCTATGGTTTCAATAACGAAACTTTTCAGAATTAACATATGGAACTGTATTTTTGCTAAACTATTTACTTCTCATTTCTTGTTTCCAGGTTTAGTTTAATATGATCCCTCACTTTAGCTACCATACTTTGTAGAAAATGCGTTCTCTTGCAGAGCCAAGGAAATGTAAAACAAAAATGACACACACACATGTCCCAAAAGTATCCATCTGTTCATTCACCCTTCTGGAATTTAGGAATTTTTTCATATACTAGTATGGAGACTTTTCCCCTTTAAGGCTCATATATTTGATATTTTGCAAGACCTGGTAAATCCATAACATAGCATGAGATAAGTTCCAGAGAGTCAGATAGCATTGTTATTTACAATGCATTCAATCCTCTTGATAATTGAGTGTTATTTTCACCTTAAGAAAAATGGTAAAATGAATAGGAATGAAAATTAAGTGCTTGGAGTTGGCAAAATAGAACCTTTATGTTGGTGAATATTGAATACAGGGAAAATTACAATTGACAGCCAGCTAGGAATTTTATTTATTAGGAAAATACCTCATAGCCAAATATGGATAGAGGAGATTACTGCTCATTAAAGTCCTGTTTTGAAATATTTCTTAACTTTTTTAAAAATTTATTTTCCCTAGAGTGAAAGCCCCAGAAAACTAAGAGCCCTTCTATACCTTCCTCTTTTTAATATAAGAAAGATTATAGATAACACTTCCTCTGGCAAAAGCTGTATCAATGAATCAACTTAATTATAACTTTAACTGAGATTGGGAGATCAGGAGCCAATTGCATCTTTCTTAGAAGGAAAATATAAGGCTAGAAAATTTGATTCACTGTGTTTGTTTTTCCAATTCAAGACTAAGTAACTATCCAAGGCATATACCTAAGGGTGAATTTTCAGATCTATCTTGTCATAGTAATGACTATAAAAATAAGATAAAGGCATCTGCTAATATGAGCAGGTTTGGATTTCTGACATGCATTCTTAAGTATAGAAGTATGAATGGGAGGGAAGCATCACCACAGAAACAGAGAAAGCATGTGCTCTCCTTCACAAGTTTATATTATATCAACCCACAGGGTTGGGGTCAGGGTCAGGGTCAGAGTCAGTGTCAGGGTCAGGGTCAGGAAAGCAAAGTCAAAGTAAGGAAATGAACTGAAGGTTCTAAGATAGCTAAAGTAACTGTACACACACAAGACACGTCAATTGGTCTGAACTTGGCGATTCAGGACATAAGAGATTAATATTACTATTGTTTATAGGGAAAAACAAAACATAACTGAAGTTCAATAGCATTGTTACAGAATGGTTAATATTATTAATAATTATTTGTAATTGTTAAAAATTTCAAAGTAATGTTAGTGTGAAACAGAAAAATTCATCAGATAGCATCTGTGCTTTTGTCTTCTGTCTTTATAAGGTAAAGGGTAAAAAGAATCTATATTCCTTGATGGAACTTAGAGAGACTCATGTATGTTTCATTCTGTTTTTTAAAGTCATTCATAGATAATTAAATACCGATAGGTTATTTAAGACAAACACAACCTTAACTTGGTAATTTAAAGTATTGAAGGCCATGTTATCATCAAAACTAGATGGGCTGGGGATGTAGCTCAAGTGGTAGCGTGCCGTCCTAGCATGCATGAGGCACTGGGTTCCATTCTCAGCACCACGTAAAAATAAAATAAAGATATTTTGTACACCTAAAACTAAAAAATAAATATTAAAAAAAAAACTTGAAACAGTTTTAAGATGAACTTCCCTTTGACTCTGGCCTTCTGCAGTTGGTGGTCTGGAAGTGCTAGTTATTCATTGCCCACTATGTTTGTGCTCTTTTCCCTTTACTTTGTTGATTGTGGCTTCTGAACCTTTCAGAGTTCCAGTGTGGAAAGGAAGAAGAGAGGGGCAGGACAGTGATTTACCTTGTCTGTAATAAGAGGCACCATTATTGGGGCCTGGTTGGAGTTAGAGCTCAGCTTTCCTGGTAGGCCCTTTGATGGCTTTTCTGGACACACTCCCCTCTGGCCTCATTCAAATATGTTTGATTATATGACTTTGTCATGAATTCTCTCCAATTAGTCCCTGCCAGAGACTGTCCCTGTAAATCCCAGTGGCCCCCAAGAAATCATCTTGGGTTGGACTGAAGATTGAAGACATGCTAACCTGCACTCCGTAACTGTGGGTCCACTGCCAATCCAAAAGAAATTCACCCTTTCTTTGCACTGAGGATAGGTAGGGTAGCACATCTATCCCATCTGCCTTTTAAGTTTTTCCAAACACAGTCAGGCATTAGTTTACTGTGACTCTCCAGCTGCAGAAGACACATGTCAAATCAATCTGGAGTAGCCCTTGAAACCTCTCTGTTTTGACTTCATGTGAAAGGGAAGGAATCTGAGTCCCATCTACTTCTTGTTGGGGTGGGATTATTCTTGCTCTACCCAGTGAAATCTTTCCTAATCTCCAGTTCTATCCCTTTTATATTCGTGAGGTGAAGAGAGGGAGAGACCCACGAACTCATCTTTTTACTATCCCCCTGGGAAACTGATGTTTTACCGTCTTTCTTTAAATTTCCTTCATGTGGTCTTGTTGTCAGCTGGCTTGGTCTTAACCACGTATTACATCTCTGTGCCTCTGTGGAAGCTTCATGGCTTGTTTCTAGTGATGTAGGCTTCTATTGATGGTGACAGTGTCAAAGTTTCAGGGGAGACTTTGGTATAGAAAAGGAATTCCCAAAGTTAAGTTTGGAGGCAAGGTCTTTTACCATCTGCGCTGTTTTACAAGAAAAAAAAATGGAGGGGGGGAGGATATTATTTATGTTTGTAGAAGAAGACAACAGCAAAAAGAGAACAGCAAGTGGGAGAAAGGGCATGGCTGAGTAGCATGGCTTAAAGACCAAAGAATTCTAAGAAAAGGATGTCTAATGTTCAAGTGTAATGGTCTTCGCATCCTGAAACATTCTGTTAAGTCATCCATGCATCAGAAAAGCCCTTGTATGGATGATTTGTTGTTACTATTGAATCACGAAAGAACCTGATTCCCACATTTGGGTCCATGGCCAGAGCAAAACAAAGGAACAGCTGTAGGCTGAGAAGTTGAGAATGGAATTCAGAAGAAGCAGGAAGCCAGAGTCACAGGTGAGCATTAGAATGTGAGATGCTGGGAAGTTGCCAAAATCTTCAAGACAGTAATGAAATGAAGGGCCAAGCCATCTTATCTAGGCAGCAAGGAGCAGAGAGACCTAGTCAACATCTGGCTTATACATACAAGTGTGCATATTGGAATGTCTGGAAGATGTTAACTGTGGCTATTGCTGGGTGATGGGATTGCAAAAATAATATGATTTTTTTTATTAATGTTTCTTAGATTTCCTACCATATTGTTATAATTAGAAAAAAAACAATTTTGAATTTTAAGGGGAATCCAGAGGAAAAAATAAGAATCAGAATCAAGAGACTGAGGGAGATAGGAATCCAGAGCTCCAACTTGGCAAGTCCATCCTGGATATAGTACACTTTTCTGTTGGTTGTTCTGCTTTGCAATATAAAATAACATATTTCTATTTGTTGCACATACATGGAAGCACTAAGATTTGTTAATATATGTCTACCTTGCATGTACTTACCAGCTCTTCATTTTCCTGAAGAGCTAAGAAAGTTAAAGAGCAAATATTAAACAGTAGTACACCCTTTGATGCTTTTGGATGACAAATTACTTTGCCAATGTACACTGTCTTAGTGTGTTGTCTGTGGCAAGAATAGAATAACACAAACTGGGAAATATATCAAGAACAGAGCAGGTGTAGTTGTGGCTCAGAGGTAGAGCATTCGCCTGGCACATTCGAGGTGCTAGGTTCGATCCTCGGTACCACATGAAAATAAATAAATAAAATAAAGGGATTGTGTCTAATTACAAATAAGATAAAAAAAAGTTGTTTCTTTAAAAAAAAAAAGAATAGAGGTTTTATTTTGATTCATGGTTCTGGAAGCTATGGAATCCAAGGCAATATCTTCTTGCCTTGTGTTTTTTCATAACAGGGTGGAAGGGGACACTTGGTGAAGAGGAGGCAAGAAGAAGCTGAGGAAGAAAAACTTACAGCAACTCACTCCCATGAGAACTAACTTCACTCTCATGGTCTTAATCTATGTGTGAGGGTGGAGCACTCATGACTTAAATACCTCCCATTAGGCCCTACCTTCCTCCACTGCCCCAATGGTGATTAAGGTTCTAATACATGATCTTTGGGGGGAACATATTCAAATCATAGTATACATCTCTATGATGTTGGGGCATGAGGACAATTTTTTCCCCCACGGGAAAAACAGAAGACACAGTGAAAGGTTTTATCCTAGGTTTCATCCTTCTGAACTCATTATAATTTCCATAGAACCTGTTGCCTGCTTCCTTCTATCATCGGAGGACCTGTCCTCTACTCCACTACGCTCCATTGTTGCACGCTGCCATTGGAGAAACACTAGAGACTGGACTAATGGTAGAGTGGCATTCCTGCTGGGTAGCTGAGTAGAAGGCACATCCTCTGGAGATGCAGGTCAGCTGGCAGGAGAAGTGGTAAGTAGGAAGAGAGGGACTGAGTTGTTGTCAAGGCCGGTGCTGTCTGTAAGAGCTGTTCCCATGTGAGCACAGTTGGAGGAATAAGGAGATGTTTCTTTTGTTGCATAAAGTTCTTCTCCTCCACCTTGATCAGAAGTGTAGGCTCAGGTGGGCACATGCTAGTGTCCTGACTCCTCCAGGAAAGGGGACTTGGGTCAAGAATGTAGATGTTTCCTTGCCAGGGATACCTAAGAAAACAGAAAGAGAAGAGAAGTGTAGAAGGAATAATATAGGGTAAGTAGCTGGGTTCTGGAGTCTGTCTGGATTTGAATCATTACATCATCATTTACTGACCATAGATATGTTTCTAACCCTTCAAGGTCATAATCAGAGGGTATCACCTACATTAATTAAGCTAATGAATGTAAAGCTCTTACCACAATGCCTAGCACATAGTGAGTTATTGACAACAGTGAGCTCCAATGCCTGGCACTGAGGATATGGCCATGCTGCCATAAGTCCCTATACCACTCTGCACCTTTCCTGAGGTGCTTTCTCTTTTGGAATCTTCCTTATTGACTGCCAGGAGCCATTTTCACTGCTTCTAGTCTATTTTTTAGTTCTTGATTAGTGAAAGGTCATGGAGTTTATTTCATTTGGTCAACACTGAGCTGGCAGGTCACTCAGATACTGTGTACTTCTCTGTAGCAGCCAGGAAGAAGGACAACTCTACAGGTTGGGTTTCTTATTTAGTTCACCCAGTGAACACTCAGACTAACCTTATTAGTCTTCTCTTATAAAATGTGTAAGGCTCAGAGAGGATAACCTGCTCAAAGACACAAATAGGAAACACACAAAAAACTTTGTTTTTAACTAAATCCAAGGTGAGTGCTAAAAAAAAAAAAAAAACAGAAAGAGATATGCTCTTTCTTTCCCTCTTTTATCTATTTCTTGTGAAAAGAATTTTTTAAAAAATATTTAACCTAGCACTTTTGAGTGTTACTAAGGTATGTTTGAAGAATATCTCAATCCATGAGAAGTTGATGGATAATAAGCAAGAAAGGATATAAGAAAATTTAAAGGAACTCCATGTCAAAGAAGTTTAAGAAATGTTTAATTAAAGCAAATGAAGCAAATTTGTTTATTGTAGATATTCTAAGACTCTTACATAGGTCTCCAGAATTGTGTTATGGGATATTGTATTTCTAAAACTAATCTGACAATGAGAAATCTTTTCTATTTAATAGAAAAATATAAATCTTTAAGGGTAAGGCCTTTAAAGTTTTTTTCATTAACATTTGCTAGAATTTTCGAATATATTAGCAGACTGTACATAGAATTTGAGGATGACATATGAAAATGGAAAATATAATTAAGTTTTTGTATATGTTACTGATGTTAATAATAGAACTCATAGCAGGAAAAGTCTAAATATAATTATGCTAGTAGAAGTCAGGTAAGTTGTTTCCTAGATTTGTATATGGGTAACTTTTCCCACTATTTACAGTTTTGGTCCTTATTCTTAAAAGACCACAAAGCATGGTATTTGAAAGTTGAAACAAAGTTTAGTCTTGAGAAATGATCGCTTTGAGGTGAAGCAAGGTAGAAAGAAGAAATGTTAGGAAAGAAACAAATGTAAGGGGAATACCAGAATAATATTTCTCAGTAGACCTAGTTCATGGCTTGGTGGGAAAACAGGAGCAGCAGTTTTTTTTTAGCACTCACTTAAATACAAATGTAAACACTTTTTCTTTAGAAAGGCTTTATATGTACAGAAAGCTATGAAAGTAATACAGAGAGTTTCCACAGACTGAATTTCCACTATTATTAGCATTGTTGCAGTAGTATGGTATATGTCAAAATTAATGAACAAATATGAATTCATCATTATTAATCATAATCCATATTGTATTGAAGTGTCCTTAAGTGTCCTGTCCTTTTTCACTTTTAGGCTCCTATCCAGCATACCACATTGCATTTAGTTGTGTACACTTTTAAGAATTTTATTTTCTGCTCCTCCAGCCAAAGCCTTCTTCTCAGAACCCCAAATAAACTGTCAGTCAATCAATATTAAATTTCAGTTGTTCCTCTTTATGAACCTAGATCAGTGGGTTCAGTCCAGATATTTTGATTTGTCTTTGAATCAGGTTATGGTTCCCCCAGTTACAAACTAAAATGATTTTCTATGATATATATTCCAGTTATCCATTGCTGTGTAACAAACCACACCCAAAAGTAATTTATTTTTCTAATAATATTTATTTTGCTTACAAATCTGAAAACAGTGTAGGCTTTGATGGGGTGAGTCGCTTTTGTCCCTCTCCATCATCCCATATCAGCTGGGTGGTTCAAAGGCTGGATCTACTTTGCCTGAGTCAGGGCAGCTTGGGGGGGGGTGCTGGAATTGTCTGAAAGCTCCCCAAGTCGCATGCATGCCTAGTACTCAGGCCTGTCTTCTACTATGGGATCTCTCTTCTGTAGAGAGACTTCTCACACCATAGCTCAGGGGCCCCAGAGTATGTGTGGAGAAAGGATAATAGAGGTAGAGGGAGTGTAGAGAGAGGAAGAGAAGTTGTGTCATTTTCATGACCCATCCTTGGACATAATAGTCTCACTTCTGTATTTTATTCTTTGAGGCAGTCACATGGTCCTACATGATATCAAGGAGAGGGAATGTAGACTTCACCTTTTGATGGAGAGTAAGTGAAACTTTGAAAGAATATATGGTACCAGAAATATTTAGTAAGATAAATTTGTGTTAAAAAAAAATCCTAAACTAAATTTGATGATTCCTTTTTCACAAAAGCAACTAAAATGTGTCATGATCAGGATTTTATTAAGCAGCTACTTGAAATTCTGTGAGAATATGTCCTGCTAATGTTATATCACTCACTATAAACTGGTGTGCGTGCACACACACACACACACACACACAAACACAGACACATGTAATACATATACATATATTCATAATATACTCAAGTGAACATACATACATACACCTATGCACATGCGTGCACACACACAACTTTTTATCACCATCTTTTTATCTATGACCTTAGTAAGAGTTTCTTCTCAAAAGTCAGAAGTGACTCACTGGTTATCAAGGAGTCCAGCTTGAGACATGACCATCCCCTTATGTGGACCCTGGCTGATGGGTTCAGCCAAATTGTTTTTCGGTTTGTCTATAAATTGGGTTATAGATCCCAAGAGAAGGAACTGAAATCATCAGACTAATTTCACATGACGCACTAAGAAGAACACGGTACTACATGAAAGAGCTTAGTGATTAGTTTACCAAGCCATCCAGTTCCATGTAAATGACCTGTGATAAATGACTGGTCAGCCAAAGAAACAGAAATCATGTATTATTTCCGCAGTTTGAAGTAAAATGCCATTTGTATTTATCATTGTTCTGAAAGAATGCAGTAGATTGTGTGGGACAAAACTTTCTGAGAACACATAAATGAACTTCTTAGTAAAATATATACCTGTATATGTGTGTTTGTATATACATGTACACATATATATTTGACTTATCAGGTTCTTTACTTGGGTTGTCCTTGTTGACTTACAAATGGTGTTATTATGCAGGAAACCATGTAATTCACTTATACAGAAATTTACAAGAGTTTTGAATCTGGAAATATTTAAACGAGGTCAATAGCTTTTGCTTTTCATTTAGAATTTTCATCATAGATCCTGAGAGTCACAAAATACGATCATAGCTTTAACCTTATATGTTTCCCAATTTTGCATTCTGCTTTATTTTCATTTTTCTAGATAAAACATTAGTGTAATTAAATATGTGGGTGGCATTATCCTCATCTAAAATGTCCATAAAACTGAGGGAAGCCCTGTCTAGAGAGAATTGAAGTCATCAAAGTATAAATGAGGCATTTGGATGTACAGAAATTTCTTATAAGCTAAGATTACCTATGAGTTTATCATTAAAGTCCCCAAATAGTTGCCACTTATCATTTTTGGAGCACTTGCTGTATGCAAGTACTCTGCTACTTTAGGTTACATTTTCTTTTTGATAAAGACAAATTCTTGTGCAGCTGGGATGATTGTTACTATTTTTCTGATAAGAAATTTATAGCTCTGAGTAACCAGGATCACAGAGCCATGAAGCTTGGGTGAAACACAAGCCCATTAGACACTGAATCACTGCTTTTAGTCCTTGTAGTGCCCACACTTTACACAGGCTAAAAACTATAAAGGAAGCCAGTGAGTTTGAGAAGCTATGGGAAAAGACCAGTAGAGCAGTATCTAACCAAATCCAGAGCCTCATAAGGAGTCTTAGACTTAAGAGGAAGCAAAGTTTACTGGAACTAATGAGGGTGGCTCCCTAGGTCCTGCAAAGAGGCTGGTTCCGGAAGTTTCCATGCTAGAGAAACTGTGGAATCATTATATTTCCGGCTGAATAGCAAATAATTCCAGGTCTAACTGTCTCTGTTTGGCTTCCTGAGTTACTGGTTGAACTGAGCTGCACTCAAGAAAGATACAGCAGTGGAATATAAAGTGAAACAGAGAAAGAGCATAAAACATCATTGATGAAGGGAACTGGGTGTGATTCAGAGAAAAGACAGTAGTTCCTAAGACACAGTATCAAAAAAATTAAATTTAAAAAAAAGAGCTGATTCAAACAAGCTGATTCAGAGTTGGAACAGCAGAAATTTTTTTCACCAGTGCATTCCTGGAGATTTCTATTTGTATACACAAATGTATACCTATGGTTAGAGTCTCTATAGTGGAATATATGAGGGTAAGTCTATAGCAACTCTTACAACCTAAGTAGAATCAGTTGGGTGAGAGGTGGCACTGCTTTCTATTTTTTATGCTGTCATATTACAATTCTCTAACTTTGATAATCTCTAATTATTTTGTTTTATGTAGTTTGCTCCAAATTCTCTAATAGAGTTATTATGGTTAGGATCAGGAGTGTCCCCCAAAAGCCCATGAGCTAAAGGTTTGGTTGCCAGTTTGTGGTGCTACTGGGAGACCATATAACGTTCAGGAGGTGCAGCCCAGTGGAAGGAAGTGAAGTCATGGGATTTTGACCCTAAAGAAAAGATTAGGACCCCAGACCCCTCCCTTCTTCTTCTTTGTTTCCTGGTCGCCCTGAGTGAGTCCTGTCTCGGCCATGTGCTCCCACTGGGATTTACTATATTGCCACAAGCCCAAAGCAATGCAACCAAGTGAACAGAAATTGAAACCCCTGAAACCATGACCACTTTTTAATCTT